TCCTAGCAATGAATAATCCTTCCAACCCTAACATTGTATAATCAGTTGGGTGTTAACAATGGCAGGAAATAATAACATCAGCAAAATGATTTAATTTTCTGTAGCGGGAGTGAAAGTTGCATGTGTGTAACAATTGCATTAAATTTATTCACATTTATGCAAATTTGTCAAATACATGTGCTTCCAGATTTTCTGTGGGGAGAAGGTGGCTGTCTTGGAAGTAAGTGATGGGTAAGGGTGCTTCAGAAGAGCCAGAGAAGGGCCTGCAGCCCCTGGTACTCACCTCCAGCTGCAGGATGGGCTTCCCGTCCTTCATCCCACACGACAGGTACAGATTCTTTCCCTTGAGGCCCAGGGCCACAGGTATCTTGTTGGTCTCTTCTTCTCCTTGCACGAAGCTCATGCAGAACACCACTGAAGAAAGGAGAGGGGCCTCGTGGTCAGGGACACACAGCAGTGCGGGGTTGGCCCAGCCATTGGCCCCCAAGCCCCGGACTCGTAGAGTTTAGCATCCTCTGTGGAAACCCACATTGAGTTTCCTGTGGCCTAACAGATAGAATAACTGGGCTTCTCACAGGGTCAGTTGGTTGCTTCAGGTTTTCCCCAAAGAACGTCTAGGGGTTTCTCAGAGCTTTGTCACCGTGGCAATGAAGAATTAGGGGGTCTAATTTTTAAAACTGAAGAAAAGAGGGAAAGAAGGAATGAAGGAAGCCGGTGTCACTTGTCACTGGCCAGTCATGTGCCCATCTGCATAGGCAGAACAATTTGATCCATGTGAAAGGCGAGAAAAGAGGTCAAGCTGGGCTCCCGAAAGAAATCAGGCACAAATGTATTTCAGGAACATAGAGCTGCAAGTGGGAAGAACTTGGGAGAGGAGAGGCTTAGCTGGGAAAAGTGGCTCCAAAGAGAGACACTCCTTTTAATCTTCGTTAGTCACAGTCGTCTCACTTGGAGGCCCCGAGGTCACGCTCACAACCCAGTTCTAAAGAAACAGGATTGTCTTGGCCTGGCTGAGAGTGGGCAGATTACCCCCAGTAATGCCTCTCTCCAAGGTCAGCAGCCTTGGAAGAGAACAGGTTGCTGCTTTCAGCTGTTCCCTTGGGCATACTCCTGCATGCAGAGTTCAGCCACAGTGGCAAGGTGCCAGGCAGATTTCCTCAAGTAGTGGGCTGCCCAGTCTCGAAACATTTGTGAGTTACAGTAGAGAGATATGAGTTCCTGCTTGTCAGTAAAATTTCCCTAGAAGGAACCATCTGGTATTAGGCGGGAAGGATGTTAGGGGCAAGGGTGCAGGGTTGGGAATGAGGATGGGCATGTTATCTCTTCACCATGCTAGTTTCAACTTCAACAACAGGAAAAAAGAACCCACAGGCAGTTAGGTCATGTCCATCAAATGACCCCTTTCCAATGGAAGCATTGCCATTGCACTATCATTAAATGACTTGGCTGGACAATGGTCCTGGGTATGCTTGAGCAGTCT